ATCCTGAAGTAATCAGATCTGTGGATTACCCAAAAGCAACAATGTACCTAGCATCATTAAAATTTGATGAGTGGTACTCATGTTATCATGTTATAACACATAATATGCATGGATTTGAACCAAAAACTAATCATTTCTATTTTCTACACATTATCCCAGAGCATCTATGTACAAAGTTTCATTGAGATCTCTTAAATAGTACATGAGAAACAAGTGAAAATGCTTGAAATTGGCTAATTAATATGTAATTAATATGGGTGGATTTCAACCAAAAACTAATCAGGGTTGAGCATTATCTATATGACAAGTTTCATTAAAATCTGATAATTGGTTCTTGAGATATCAGTAGAACAGTCACACAATTTAACTTGACTTGCCATTATGCACAATGGTTCTCTGAGTATGGAGGTGAGTTAACAAATGTGTGTCTATAAAACAGTAATGTTTATTTCTGTGAGACACTGTGTTTTTAAGCTGTGAGAAATATGTCAAACTGATTTTAACTCAGAAAGAGTTAGTTTGGACGGTTTAGTAACAAATGTTAAGAGCATGGTAATATATGTGCTATACTGTATATATACTAATTTAGGCATTACTTTTGGAACATTTAAAATTTTTAATTTATGTTATGTACAGTAACTGACACTTTATTACAGAATACAATGTTTATTGCGACGAGTTTGAATGGGTAAATTTGGTTTTTACAATGAACTATCATCACTATGATAAAAACTGATAAAAACAATCATGCCACTTTTCCACGAAAATTATATAAACAAGCCATGCATGGCACAGTCCCCGTTAGTTATCAAATTTAAGATATATAGTTTTGTTTATAGTGATATAGCTGGAATATAACCATGTCAGGAATATGATTTTTTAACATTAAAATGATTGACATTTGTATCTGATCGTCAAAAAAGTACTTGTCCATATTGAGAGATATTGCTCTGGAACAGCATTCAAAATCAGCCATTTTGAATACATGTATATATATATATAACATGATGTACAACGAATATATAAAATTTGAATATAATCAGTCAAAGCATTTAAGAGATATGGCTCTAGAAGCCCAATCATTAAAACAAAATGGCTGCCAGTCAACCATTTTGAATCCAATCTGAAAAATAAAATGACGTACTCAGGAACCTGTAATGTCTAATGTATGTACCAAGTTTGAACAAAATCCATCCATAAATGCCAGAAATGCTTGATATTTGATAATTTTTTAGCACAAAAATGACCACCATTCGGCCATTTTGAATAGGATCGTCAAACCAATATATCTGTTTATAATGAATATTTAAAATTTGAATATAATCAGTCAAAACAAGGCGAAGATATGGGTCAAGAAGCCCATTCATTAAAACAAAATGGCCGCCAGACAGCCATTTTGAATCTGATCTGAAAAATAAATCATGTGCATCAGGAACCTGTAATGTATAATATATGTACCAAGTTTGAACGAAATCCATCCATAAATGCTTGATATTTGATGATTTTTTAGCACAAAAATGGCCACCATTTGGCCATTTTGAATAGCATCATCAAACCAATATATCTGTCTATCTATGACATGATGTATAATGAATATTTAAAATTTGAACATAATCAGTGAAAGCAAGTCAGAGATGTGGCACGAGAACCACATTCATTAAAACAAAATGGCCGCCAGTCGACCATTTTGAAACTTATCTGAAAAACAAGGTCCCATAATGTCTAATGTATATACCAAGTTTGAACAAAATCCATCTGTAAACAGCCGAGAAATGCTTGATTTTTAGGATTTTTTAGCACAAAAATGGCTGCCATTCGGCCATCTTGAATCAGATCGTAAAACAAAATAATGTGCATCAAGGTCCTATAATGTCTAATGTATATACCACGTTTGAACAAAATCCATCTGTAAACAACCGAGAAATGCTTGATTTTGATGATTTTTAGCACAAACATGGCCGCCATTCGGCCATCTTGAATCAGATCGTGAAACAAATTGACGTGCATATGTATAATATCATGTATGATGTATGTGTAAGTTTGATTGTGATTGGTCCAGGCATTTTTAAGATACAGGTCCGGACGCACGCACAGACGCACGCACGGACACACGGAGGTCAGAACATAAGTCCCTGTTTTCAGACTGCGTCCGAACGGGGACTAATAAATAGTCCCACAGTCTCGCGCACATTGGAATGCACCTGGGCTCAAACAAGTATAAAATAGCTATAGAAACAGACGATAATGTAATAAACGTATGTTTGAAAGAATATGAATCATATGTTAAAAAAAAATATCGTCTCAAATTATCACCATTCTATGCTTGAAAAAAATTAAAATCTGTGAAACAGGAACATTGACAATTATTATTTATATTCATTGCCCGTGCATACACAGGCATGTCAAGGAACTGTCATGCGCACTGTGAAAGTTTTCACAACATTGATTTTCACAGAAAATACTAAATTGGTCCCTATTTTTCCCCACACAAAAATATTGTTATATTGGTTCAAATTGCTACATTTTGTGTGAAATATAGGTATTCCAATGGGGTATCAATTGTACGTGAATCGAACCATACACTATCTTCACACTCATCACCTTTTCTCTATTCCTCATCATCAGCACAGTTAAAACAAATGAACATTACTTTTGTTATCATGTTGAAATACTAAAAAATTTTTTTGTGACTGCAAAAAAACTTTGAGATGTCTATTTTAGAACAGAATGATAACCTTTCACCTTCACCTGAATTAGAATAAATATGGTAACACTAAAGAACACTCACCCTTCTTGATGATTTAAATGTCCCTTGAATGAAATTCGATATTTACTTCCAGTTCCACCACTTTCTTGTACATCCCATTTCTCTGTTGTTAACATACACAAACAGTCACATCAGAATTCAATTAAAATGTTGATATCAGTACACATTGCCATCCTTAGAAGGATCCATACAAAATACACATTACTAATTTGCACATGTTCCTATGACCTATGACCCCCTGGTCAAAACTGTCATTATGAGGTCACTGATTTGCTTAAAGCGTTGGCTTGTTCATTGGATTACTTTTTACTGGATTAAAAAGACAATAGACAGAATGTTGTATAAACAACAAGAACAATAGTATCCCGTGATTCCATGGTGCAATCCCGGAAATTGAAGAGTCCCAGTTAGTTTAACAAAAAAATGCAAATAGAAATGTTATGTTTATGTAATTTTATCATATTTATAACAATTGACAACTTAATTTATATGCTGTAAAT